CTGTGTCGAACACCAGTGTGACTTTTTGTCCGGTGACGGCAACCTCTTCGCACAGCGAAGTTTTAAGGCTGATGACCATTCCGATTTCCGGACGTGCATCATGATCGACATTTTGGAACGCTTTCTCCAGCAGATCAATCTTCACCGCAGTCCGATCAACCGTATTACGTATAACGTAGTTTCATCGACCACTGCCGCTGATTACATCCGAAGCATGCGTGGAGATGATGCTGATTGTGATTCAATGCTTTTAATTTCTCTTTGTTACGGTAAGCAGGTCGCTGTCACGGAAGCACGTGCAAAAGAAGAATCCGCTTCTGCGGATGGATTTGCAGGATCAGCTTTTTCCGACGAAGTTATGTTGAACGATGTTGAACAGTTAAAACATTTGATGGCATATGACCTTGGTTTGGCAGAAAAGGACTGTGCATGGCACCTCTCCTTTGCCTATGCCCAATTAAAAGCATTGAAAAATATGCGCATCCGATCCAAGGAATCTGAAGATAAAAGACGTGAAAAATGGATGCAGAAAACTCAAGGATATCTCGACAAACGAGAAGAAAGGAGAGACAGTGTTCCGCCTTTGCGGACTGATTCACACCGAAATGTTGGACGCACTCGAAGTCGATCGGTCAGCAGGACCAGAACCTATCGACCCAGAACTGAACCACCAGCACCGCCTCCGGCACCTGCTCGAGGTCCAGCAGAGAAAGCTAGACCAGTGCAATATAAAGCAGCACCGAAGTCCTTAAAAGAACCATCAGCACCGACGTCCTCAGGATCTTCCTCAAGTGCTCGGCCGCCTGTAAAGGCTCCTCCAGTTCCGGCTCCCGGACGAACATTAGGTTCACAACAGCCTAGAACGCCACCTGATCCGCCAGGTCCACCGAAGACTCCACCGCCGTGGAGAGAGAGATCGCAGCAGGCCGAACAGAGGCAAACAACCAGAAAAAGGCCAATCAACGTGCCTGAGCCTCCTGCGCCTCCATCCCGCATGTCGGGTTCGCAATGGCTTGACCAAGGAACAGCTTCCAGCTCTTCCGGGTACCGTAATTACGGTTACAACTATGATCAGCCGTCATACTATAGAGTGAATCCTAATACCTCTAATGTAGAATACGTCCCAGGGTACCAAGTACCCAGACAGCGTTGGGTTCAGAAATACGACGGATCGTGGCTTGACATGATTCCGCAAACACCGGATCAGTCCATTTTCTTTCATCAGACCGGTGAGCTCAGAAGGAGGAACGAATTGAGTTTCTACGGTTACTATTTCACTATGGGCTTGTAGCCCCAAAAATTGCAATGTTCCGCATTTGCGGTCGCTTGCCAACAGCCGAGAACAACCGCTTGCCAACAGCGGAGAGTAGCTTTTTGTACAGTTTTGTTTTTGTCTTCGGACCGTCTCACAGCAGATCACAGGCTGAGCGCTACCTGTGAAACAGAGTTGCATGTTCCGACACGAAGAAAATTTGTGTCTGTTTGTGATTTATTTTTGTTTACGTGTCTACACAATGCTGTCATGCATGTTGACATGTATACATAATTCATATCTTTCATGCGCACTCCGCATGGCTCAAGACTAGCAGAATCTTGCGTAGAAAAAGAAGTGCCGTCGCTCACGCTTGACTCAGGTGTTTGTACATAATCCAGGGCTCCCCTAATAGAGGGATAGCTACCTCACCCCCCCAATGGTATCCCCCCCCACTCCTAACCCCCCCCACCCCTCCAAAACCTAGTATTTGCATGTATTTGCATGTTATTTGCACATATACATACACATATACACATATATACTCCCCTTTCCACCCCTCCAACCTCGCATCTCTACGTTATTTGCAGCACTTGAGAGCCACGACCTCGTCAACGGACCTTGTCTACCTGTATATTTCTATCATACCCTTTTTTTCGAACCGCCTATAGCGTGCCTCGCACATGGTTTACAACATATTTGCTACCTATGGATTACGCAAAGCTTGCCTATGCAAACCTAGACATATGTACAGTAGAAAAACAATAAATATATATATATATGTATATATAGATAGATGCACATTCTAGATACTACATATTGATATCTTGATCTTGTATCAATCACATATTTCGTTTACATTGTACATACTGTACACGTATATATATATATATATGTACATATATATATACATATGCATACATATATATATATATATCATATATATATATACATAAAATCTAGATATACACCGTGTATTGCTGTCGATATTCAATATACCACATATACTATGTAAAATTTATTCAACGAACATATTTACCTATATTGTAAATATTACATCTACTGTGGATACAGTACATGTGGCATATACTATCTATATTCTATCAAAAACCACATATACGATGTATATATATATATAAATATGTTCAATATATATATATATGTATATGTCAAATATATATATATATATATATTATTATATATATATTATATATATATTATATATATATTATATATATTATATATTATATATATATAGATTGCATATATTCTATTTATATCTTACATATTATATATATGTTTATATATATATGTTTATATATTATATATATACACTACACATACACTCTATATTACATATAGTATATCCATTCTAATTATCGATACATATGCATTATATGCACTATAAAGACTACATACACCATGGCTTGGCTGCTGAGAAAACCCCCCTCCCCTGCCACAGGGGGGGGGAACCATCTGGCTGGGTGGGGGGGGGTGTGGGGGTCCCTGCTCATATATATATATATATATACCCTCTGGTAAACTAACATAGCAATGGAAAATCACCATTTTCAATGGGAAAATCCACTATAAATGGTCATTTTCAATAGCTATTTTGACATAACCAGAGGGTATATATATAATCCCCTTGAAACCATTGAGATTTCACGCGTTGGGCCTTTATTGGCAATTCCGAGGTGCACGAGCTCCGGCAATTCCGAAGCGGGTGGCATCTTCACCAAGACCTTCGGAGAAAGAACCATCCAAGGTTCACATTAGTTGCAGCCCCTATTCACATTGGTCCAAACATGTCCAAACCATATGTGATTTCATCATATTTCATCATATTTCATCCTATTTCATCCACCATGGTTTCTGGGGCAAAGCCAACGTTGGAGGACAGGGATTGGTTCGAAGCATGTTGATCTGTGGGTTTTAAGGTTCCCATGATGACTCCCAGCGATGCCTTCATCAAGCGAAGTACATGCACCAAGGACTCCAGTGCATCCTGCGCCCAAAAAAATGGATGGCCTGTCTGTTGGGAGTGATGATCTCCATCATTGGTTAACAACGACTCCCTAAGGAAAAGACTGCTGTCAGATAGCACCTGAATTTCAGGAGTCTAATCCTTAAGAGCCAATGAATTCCAAGCTTCAATGATTTCAAGAAAAATACCGGAAACCATGTGCCTCTATCATCTCGCTTTATTTCGGTTCCTGTAGATTTTCATGATTTTCCCCCCTGAAACCTGGCTTTCCCCAGCAGATTGCACCAAACTTCCCGCAGATTGCACTCCTGAGATGTGAGCCCAACAGCGCTGATAACTCTGGCCACGTCCTGCCGCTCTGGATTTTGGGAAGGGCCGGGAAGGAGTTGGATCACCATCAAAAAAGAACCATATCATATAGGTTTACCATCTGGTTATGACTAACAGTTTGCCATGGAAAATCACCATTTTTCAGTTCGGTAAACCATCTATTTCTATGGGCCATCTATACCATGGCTATGTTAAATACAGTAACCAGAGGGTAAACCTGAAAATTCCTGGAGAACCCCCCCAAGATCATCCTTAAGTTTATCCAATGTTTATCATGTTGCTTCATCACGGCAATATGAAATGAGCCATGGTCCATGGTCCATGGGATGAATGGGGTGAATGGTATCCATCCCATATCCATCACATCTTGGACATCAAAAATTTGACAAATACAACTCCCCAGGGGTTGATGACCATGGCGAAAACATGGCACCCCCATCCCATCATTTCTAGTCATTTCTAGTCACAATGGCCTAATATTGTATGGCTTAATCCTTGATCCTGGGATAGCTTTCAAAAAACCCTCTGGTAATTTATAAAAAATTAACAGTTTGCTATTGAAAAAATTGCCATTTATAGTTGATTCACCTATTAAACATGGGTACTTTCCATAGCTATGTCAATTTACCAGAGAGTAGCTTTCAAAACAGTACAATCCAGGGAGATTGTTCGATCTCGACATCTTGCCGGCGCCTGAAATCCAGCTTCCTCAATGGCTTCAAGAGCCTCCTGCAACAGAAATTTCCGCGAGTTCGTGGGTTTTTGGAAGCACAGAATCTCAACATTCAAATGGGTTGATGCAAAAATTGGGATTCCATCAGAATCTTACCTACAAGAACATCTACTTGATGACAATTATATACAATTATGAATTACAACGATCTCAATTTTCATGGGCTTCATGTAATCAACATAATAAGTTCTAATATATATGGCAATTAATACAACGATCAACATGTTTATTATGTTCATATATAGTTCATGTAATCAACAGAAGTCAAATATGGCAGTGGCACACCTCGGAGATGCCAGAGACCTCGCAGTTGGGCAACTGCGACAGGATCCGGCTCTCCTCCGTTGGACATATGGAGATGGAGGATGTCAACGGTTGGTGTCTGATGATTTCTAAGTGTGTTGTGAATGTTCAATATATATATATATATATATGTTTATTAAATAAAAAGGACATGTCAACATGCTGATGTAACCAAGAAAAAATCAGGAAAACTTATAGTTCTGAACACAGAGAGGAGAAATTGATCAACTAAGGCAACTAAAGCACCAACAAGAATCAGCATTGCATTTGATGAAGATATATGAATCGGGCAAATATGACTTGAGTTTAACAACCAAAAAGCTTGTCATGAATGTATTCCAAAACAAAAAAATAAAACATCAAACTATAAAAACCAGTTTTAGGGCTTACTTGGT